GGTACTCTGCCCCTCCTTGGGGGACAGCCAGAGCCCCGCTGGATGTGGAGCAGAGGACAGCTCTGCCTGCCTGCACCCCGCACATCCCCTTCTTCAGTGGGGGGGTAACCCCCCTTCCCACTAACAACCGACAGCGACGTTCAGATTGCTCCTACCAGGGTAGCACGAGCAGCCTGGGGTGCCTGTAAGGCAGAGAAACGGACCTTCTGCAGCTGGAAAGGCCTCTGCTCAGTAATGGTGATTCCCGTCACAATGCTTGGCACCCCAAAGGGCTCTGAAGTGCTTCGCAAGTGCTTTACAAACCACACAAGCAGGGAAAGTACTTTTCCACCACTGAAACGCAGCCACGTCTGGTGGGAGAGAAAGCGAATATGGAATAATGTCCTAAAAGGCGTTCGGGCTGGAAAAGCAGAGCGCCCCACCGCTCTGCAGCAGCAGGGAGGGCGAGCGGTGGGTCACGGCTGCCAGCGAATGTCCCTGCCTGCACTGGGATTTGACTGTGACCACCCACACTGCTGGAAAAACTGCTCTCAGGTCTTTTACGGTGAGGAAAGGGCAGGATTTCAGCAACCGGACTTTTAAATGAGATTGCACTGGTGCCTTCACCATGCAGGGTTTCACAAAGACCTGGGGAAAAGCCCAGCTTTAGGAAACCTCTGCTACTCTCTGCAACACCTTGAAGTCTCAAGTATTGATCCAGCTTGGTCAGTGAGACCTGGCAGTATCACACCCAAAGGGAGAACATGAAATGAGGTTATTTGCTTTCTTACACAAAAGACTTCATCCAGCACAAATACCACCAAACCCAGCAAACCCCAAACCTGAGAGAGGGGGGCAAGATGCCACTAAACTCACGAAGAGCCTTTCAGCTCTGCTTTCCCTCCCCAGCTGCACGCAGCACTGCTGCTGAGCTCAGTTTTACTCTTGCATGAAAAGGGAAATTAAGGCAAGAACCAGAGGTCACAATGTCACCGGCAGGTCTAGGGACAGATCTGACCCTCTTCTTTCCTCTAAGCAATACCCCTTGCCCTCCCTGAACAGCCCCTCAGCCCTGGCTTGGTTCCCTAGAGTCCCACATGCTAATCCTTCCTCCCTACACCTTGCCAAAGCCTGGTCCACCCCATGCCAGTGGGACTTCTGCCACTGCGATTAGCAGGGCTGGATACGGCCCGAATCCCCAGAGGAGGTTTCTCTCCCCGCGGCAGGGAGCTTCCCTCCCCGCCCGCCCAGCAGCGAGCCTGCCATGAGCGAAGAAGGCGGCACATCCAGACGGGCCGCACGACGGCACGGTCCGATCGGG